GTTCACGACTTACCATCGCTATCGGCAGAGAAACTGTTTTTTTTTTTGGACATAGTGGTAAAAACGATAACCTACGCAAACCGGGACGACGATACTCGCCGGCTTACAGTTCTTAGACTATTCGGAACAGATGTTATGCGTGAAATTCCGGGACCCAGCTATGTTCGAGAACCGTTGCCCGTACACGAAGGCCGAATGTTCACGTTTCTGCGACCACCGCGATTTCCTGACAATCGTATTGCGACGATTGTCAGGTGCGGATGCTTTGCCGAGTACCGAGATCGTCGGGACGGCCAAAGTGGACGTGCCGGAATTCAAATCCGTACAGAGAGGCACTTCTGGAGGGATTTCCAAAATCGAGCTAGACGTGGACGTAACAGCGGAAGACATGCGCTTAGCGGCTGTCGTATGGTTCGGTTGAGAACCGCGGGTCCCGTGTGGTCCGGGCCGTTGCAGATACGCGAAGATGCCAATGTTGAGAAATCAAAACATTGCGGGGACAAAAAAAAAAATGAATAGAAAATGTTGCAAACGGACGTGTAAGTACACGGAACCCGACGAAACCAAAACGCCTAGACCGGAAGAGCAGTTCTCGTCGATCGGATGCGAATTCAACGGACACAAAATCGACTTGAAGATGAGGAAGAAGAGCGTAGAGTCGTGTATACCGGAGAGACGAGAAGCGAAAAAAATTGAGAAATTCAATAGAAAACTGATGCTGCTTATCCACAACAATAATCCATCAATTTTTTAAAATTGAACACTNCAGATAACTGATGCTGCTTATCCACGACATGCACGAGCGAGTAGCTACTCGCTTACGTTGTCGAAAAACAACAACATGAACGCAACGAAATGTTAAAAAACGAAATTATACTAATTAAAAATACACATTTATGCTTTACGAATAATCCCGAATAACTCTACAGTGTCAAACTGTAATGGCACTTGGGAAAAAATCTGGGACAGATTGATTTTATTTTTATCTACAGTGTATTATGAATTCAATAGATAATATCTTAATTATATATGAAACTTCAAACTTCAAAACTACGTACGCGAACGTTTTCCTACTATCGATTTTTTTATTAATTAGTTTATGCATGAATGGATTATATTTTAGTGAATATAAGCAAACAGAATAAAAGTACAGCTATAATTTAGTAAAATTTAATTCCAAAATTGGAAACGGATTTATTTTTGAAAATAGCTGTTAAAAGTGGATAATATTCTAGTTAATGAATTTATTTAATTAAAAAATGTACATAAAAAATTTAGATGTAATTGTAGCATTTAAATAATATTGCAATAGTCTTATTGCTAATTATATTTTTAATTATATTTTGAATGTCATTATTTTGATAATAAATAAAGTTGACTAGTTAGAATGTTCATAGGAAAAAATTTGTTTAATAAATAAATATCATAATCCAGAATGTAATAAAAATAAAGATTTTATTCTCACTAGGCTAGATATATTAGTGGGCCGCCCTGATGTAATACCTTGTAGTGTTTTGGTGTTTATATTTATTACAAAATACTACAATTAAAATTTATAATAATTAATAATTTTAATTAATGAAAAATGATTTTATACATACATAAAAAAAGAGTACAAATAAAAAAGTGTCACTGGATTGACGAACAGCGCGAGAATAAAAAAAATACATGGAGTGTTATCGTACTGCAGTACATCTAAGATAAAACGTATAAACATATATAAACGTATTCATTGTGACATGTTATTTAACATCTTTGTTAATCCCTACATTACCCCCTTTCCAGTGAAAACGATAATTTTATGTTAAGCATACATAGTTACAAACATCAAATATAAAAATACAAATACAAATATAAAAGTGATACAATTCACAATTTACAAAAACCTTACGGGGAGGCGGATGGTTTTTCCTGACTTGGTTTGTTTTGTTTGTATTATTGTTGGTCTTGTAGTTGTATTTCTCTGGTTGTGCTGGTTCGTTGTTATTGATAGATTTGTGTTATTATCTTCATTTTCGTTGAAACATGGTGTTGCGGCAAGTTATGTGATTATGTTCAATTTGCGGCCCGAATGGAACCGGTTACATATATTAAGTGGGGATGCCGTTCGCTGTCCGGTAAGTCGTCGCCTTATCTAGTTAGTCAACCATTGCATGGTCTAGTGATTAGACCCATCGGCGCCGCCACGAGTTTTTTCCGCGACTTGCGGTATTGTAATGTAAAGGTGAATTCCGTGGATTTACCGGGCGCGTGATCATTATAGTTTATTCGTGTTTTGTATCATTCAAGCGATTGAAGTTAGTTAAATATAACAGTATAATCCAATCCTTGATATCAGCCCAGGTCAGATTATTGTATTCTATAGCGCTTAAAATTTATATTTGTACTTATTTTTATTGCACTGTATTGTTTATTTGTCATTATGAATGTAAGTGGGGACGCCCACCCATAAAGTTTATTATTAATTAAACCAACATTATTATTATAGACAAATTCCTTTCGAGTTTCTTATTTAATAATTTATTGGGGTTTCCTTGAATTGTAAAAATGTAAAAATGTAGACGAACACTTGGTAGCAGAGCGTGGTTTGCTTAAATTTAAATAATATATTGAATTCAGTTAAAAGTGCAATTTTGGGCCCAGCGAGCTTTAGCTTTTTTAATGTTATAGCACATAAGATAATTGTGTGTCTTTTCTGTTTTGGCCGTACCTCCATGCTATAAGATTAATATTTATACACATTTTTTAGCAAAGTACTTTTGTTATTAAAAATTAGATTTAATACTAATTCTATTTATCGTAAGATTAATAGTTAATTCCAGTTATTAGAATTAGTATTAAGGGAGATTGCGTATGCAGATTTGTTATTATTATATTGTATTTAAGATTAGTTGTTTTTTAACTTTATATTATTTTGAATTTATTTTGAAGTTGGTTTCTGTTTTTTATGGGTAATATATAACCGTTTTACATTTTTTCAGTTACATTTCTTAAAATTGAATACATTTTATGATATTAATAGTGCTGCTTATAGTTGTTTAATATTTATACAGAATTTTATTGATGAATGTGTAATTTTAATAAGCACGTCACAACATTTTATTATTAGTGTTTTTAATTATTGCTGGTGCGTTGGATAATATTTATAAAGTTAAAATATAAAATATATAGTGTTAATTTTCTATTACTACTTGTTGCAGTTGATTTAATTTTTAAGTAATTATATTGTGCGTTTGGTTTTTTTTTGTATTAGTATTTTGCAGTGGTTAATAAAACATATATATATTTATTTAAAAATCCATATTTAAGTAGTATTGGTTTGCCTTGTGTCTGCTAAAATTTATTAATGTTAGCTAAGAAAGGGTTCATTTAGTGATTGTTGTTTCATTTAAAAGATTTTTTTACAATAATTGTTTTATTGGAATTCATTAAATATTTTATTGCCTTTCCGTCAATTAAGAGAAAATGTCCAATACTGATGAGCGTGACGTTAGATACCTACAGCGAATTAAAAAGGCTGCGTTGTTTGTTCGTGAAAGCACCATCAATCGCATTAAATCTATACATGAAATGTCTGTTCGCGTTGTTGAGTCTCCTGAGCTGTTACCTGATTTTCTAATATCTGTGAAGGATTTAGACCCATTATGGGAAACATTTTTAGCAAATAATCAAGCCGTACTTGAGGCCTTGTCGGATTTAGATTTGCTCGATGAATTTTCTTTAAATTTAGAAACTGATACTCGCGCATTATGCATAAGAGCATTAGCTACTGCAGATAAATATAAACCTACCTTGCCACGTCAATCACTATCTAATATTAACGATGATGGTAATGAGTCTGTAATTTCCAATAAGTCCGGCATCAATAGTGGGATGCGGTCACGTTTGCCTGAGATACCCCTCCCCTCCTACAGTGGTAGCTTTTCGGATTGGCCGGTCTTTCGTGATAGATTTAAGGCACTGATAGCTCAGCGTACGGATTTGTCCAATATTGAGCGATTTTATTATTTGTTGGGATGTCTAAAAGGTGAAGCACTTAATAGTATTCGCAACATTGTTGTATCCGAGACCACCTATGAACTAGCCTGGTCAACATTAGTCGATAGATTTGACAGACCTCGACAGCTAGCCACTTTAATTGTGGACAAGTTAATATCAATTCCGGCACAGTCACAGGAGTCTTTGGAGGGGTTAAAAGATTTTTTGGTATTATTTTCGGATCAGACAGCAGTATTGGAGTCATTGCAAATACCTAACCTTGGAGAATTTCTATTATTTGCTCTGTCGTCCCGATGCTTACCATTATCCACCCGCAAAGGTTTTGAAGCGGTTAATTCTGAAGAATTTCCTGCTGCCTCTGACGTAATAAAGTATGTAAAGGGGCGGGTATCCATTTTAGAGGCTGTCAGATTTTCTGGTAGTTCACGTCGATTAACAGTTCAACGCGACAACATGAAACCATCAACTTTCCGAAATATAGATAAGCGACCCAAGTTTGCTTTAGTCGCTGCCAAATCTTCTGGTGCTCCTATCTATAATTGTGTTTTTTGTAATGGGTCACATGGACCATCTAAGTGTCGAATGTTTCAATCGGCTTCGGTAGAAGATCGTAACACTATGGTACGAGAGAAGAAGATTTGTTTTAGTTGTTTAAGTAGCTCACATTGGAGCAACCGTTGTAAGGAGCGCCGACCTTGTAAACACTGTCCTAGGATGCACCATAGTCTTCTTCACGTAGATAAATCAGATGGTGAGACCTTATCTAATGTGGTCGGAGTACCTGTAAGCAACACTTCGGTAATGAGTACTCGTCCAAGGCATACCGTCTTATTAGGTACTGCACTAGCTCACATCAAAGACCGTGCAGGTATCTTTCAGACTGTTCGAGTTTTAATAGACTCAGCTTCACAAATTAGTGCAGTAACCAGTAGCTGTGTAAATCGTTTAGGATTGTCAAAGAGAAAATGGACAGCGCTCATTTTAGGTCTTGCTGGAGCTAAGGTACCTCTGGTTGAAGGAGTTGTCGACTGTCGACTCACTCCCCGGTATGCTCCNAGTTGTCGACTGTCGAATCACTCCCCGGTATGCTCCACAACACGAATTACTTGTAAATGCTTGGGTATTACCTAAAATTACGGCAGACATGCCCAATAGAAGTCTTTCTATTGACATAAAGTGCCAGTTTGCACACCTCGCACTGGCTGACCCCACATTCGATCAGCCAGCGCCAATTGATATGTTAGTGGGCGCGGACATGTTTGCCCAGGTAATGGACGGTAAGCGCATCGAAATAAACCGTCAATTACCAGTAGCTTACGGCTCTATATTCGGTTGGGTCTTAATTGGCGGGGTAGGAATACCCACGGACGATTCTTCCTATGTTGTACTTTCGTCATTAATGACATCGCTGGAAGATCTATTAGAAAGATTCTGGGAAATAGAAGAACCAGGACTTAATGAAGATGATGTAACTGAAGAAGGAAGAAGTGAACTAATGTTTCGAAGCCTAACGACCAGAGATAGTCATGGACGGTTCATAGTGCCCTTGCCATTTCGCAAAAACGCGTGCTGTGACAGACTATCGGGCTCACTGCAGGTAGCTACTCGGCGATTTGAAAACTTAGAAAGGAAATTAAAGAGTGACTCTCAGTTATAAGGCGCTTATAGGGAGTTCATGAAGGAATATGAGACACTCGGTCACATGACGCCAGCTCCAGTGTCCGGAAAGTATTTCATTCCGCATCACCCGATTATTAAACAAATTGGTGATCAAATTAAACTCCGAGTGGTTTTTGATGCTTCGGCTAGGGCACCTGGGGGTTGTTCACTAAATGATTGCCTCATGTCTGGACCTAAACTGCAGTCCGATATAACGGATGTATTACTTAACTTTCGCCTGTACCAGCACGTCTTCGTAGCTGATATTTGCAAGATGTATCGCCAAGTGCTAATCCAACCCGAACACCGACAGTACCAGCACATATTATGGCGTGACGTTTCGACTGATCAACTCCGTGAATATCAGTTAAATACGGTTACTTATGGAGTCAATGCTGCACCATACTTGGCCATACGTGTATTACATCAAATAGCCAGCGACGATGCTAAAGGATATCCCAGAGTCCAACATGCTCTGCGTCGTCAAACATACGTGGACGACTTATGTGTGGGAGCGGACACTATGGAAGCTTTGATTAGTCTTCAAGAGGAGGTAAGAACTGTTCTTGCTAAATGTGGTATGGAATTGAAGAAGTGGTGCAGCAACACACAGTCTATTCTTGATCACGTATCTGTTGAGGATAGAGCACAACAGTCGTTGCAGTTCGAGGTAAATAAGGATTCAATCATTAAGGTCCTGGGATTAGTATGGAATGCTATGGATGACCATTTCAGCTTCAACGTGTTACTCGACTCTCGCATTTTTATCAAGCGTGGCGTACTTTCGGTTATAGCTCGTATTTTTGACCCACTAGGATTGCTAGCTCCAGTAATTTTTACTGCTAAGTGTCTTATGCAAGAAATCTGGCGATCTACCACAACGTGGGATGATCCATTGCCTGAGAGAATCATGACAATATGGACTAAGTTTATTGATCAATTACCACGACTGTCAGAATTGAGCATACCACGTTTTATTGGTACTAAAACTAGCAGCAAGGTCCAGTTGTGTGGGTTCTGCGATGCGTCCAACAAAGGATATGCAGCATTGGTATATTTACGGTTTCTGGCCACAGATGGTACTATGACTATACATCTACTGGGCGGTAAGACAAAGGTAGCACCTATAAAGACTATGACCATTCCTAGATTGGAGTTGTCTGCTATGTTGTTGTTGGCCAAATGGTTGCGCAAAATAGAAAACCAGCTAAGTCCTACAGTATCTGTGTCAGACGTATGGGGTTGGTCGGATTCCACGGTAGCCCTATCGTGGGTGGCGTCAGCTCAGGTATCTTTCAAGGCTTTTGTGACAAACCGTGTGGTTCTTATCCGCCAGCTACTGCCGAGTTGTCAGTGGCGTTATGTACGGACTGACATCAATCCGGCAGATTGCGCCTCTAGGGGATTAATGCCTGCTGAATTGGCTGCGCATAAACTGTACTGGCAGGGTCCGTCCTTTTTGTACCACGCGATTGACACCTGGCCTCAAGAATTTAAAGTCATCTCAGAATCCGAGATGCCGGAAGTTCAACAAGTGTCGATATTGGTATCGACACAAAGTGCATCCTCTTCGGACTTCTTAACCGGACGGTTTTCTAATTACGGTAGAATGCTCCGGGTGGTTGCTCGGATACGACGTTGGTTAAAGTACAGACGCCATGAACCTGTCTGTTCGGTCTCCCTATCAATTTTGGAATTGAGAGACGCGCTCACTGCTATCACTCGTTATGTACAACGAAAAACCATGTCAGATCTTATTGTCGAGTTACAAAACAGGAGACCTGTTTCATCAAAGGTGTTTTCACGTTTGATGCCGTTTATAGATGATAACGGGATAGTATGCGTAGGAGGGCGTCTACAAAATGCTGACCTTCATGAACATCAAAAACACCCTATTCTGCTCACCCGGGATTGTCATTTGGCTATGCTTTTGTGTCAGCATTGGCATCGCGTCACTTGTCACTCTGGACCCCGACTTATTGTCAGCCTTATTGTGCGCCATTTCTGGATCATATCTGTTCGTGTACTCGTGCGTCGAGTGGCGACCATGTGTAGTACATGTGTACGTTTAGCTGCCGTTAATCCTCAGCCACTGATGGCTGACCTGCCTACTTCTCGTGTTCAGCAGTGTCGTGTGTTCCAACGTGTAGGAATTGATTATGCCGGCCCTTTCTCCTTCAAAGAAACGTCTCTCCGAAAGTCCAGAGTTTATAAGGGATATGTGGCAATATTTGTCTGCTTTGCTGTTAAAGCCACTCATTTAGAAGTAGTGTCCAGTTTGTCTACGGAGGCATTTCTGGCTACCTTAGATCGATTTGTAGCAAGACGGGGTATTCCCACAGACATTCATTCAGATTGTGGTACAAATTTTATCGGAGCAGCTAATGTTTTACGGTCACTCATCCAGACTGAGGATGCACGGGAGCGAATTGAAGCGTCAATACCCGCTCATTGGCATTTCAACCCCCCATCTGCGCCCCACTTCGGTGGACTTTGGGAGGCGGCAGTCCGTGCCATGAAGGCACGACTAACGCGGGTACTATGTAACCATATACCCACGTATGAAGAATTTACTACTCTAATTACCCGGGTTGAGGCTGTACTGAATTCTCGACCATTAACCCCTATGTCTGCAGACCCTCAAGATTTAGACTACCTAACACCCGGACATTTTTTAATTGGCCAACCTCTCCTAGCCATTCCATACCCTCCCACACCAGAGATCTCAAAAAATCAACTCCAACGATGGAAATTATTTGAGAATTGCCAACAGAGTTTTTGGAAGCTGTGGTCTCAGGACTATCTACATACATTACAACAACGGTCGAAGTGGACCAAAGAACAACCCAACATCGCGGTAGGAGATATGGTTGTGATAAAAGAGAACAATACAAGTCCGTTAGTATGGAGGTTAGGTAGGGTGACGGGTGTTATTCTTGGCAAGGATAAAATTGCGCGCGNACAAATTAATGTTTCAGCAAAGGAACAAGGGTCTGTCGCCACTGATGACTGCATAAAAAACTCATTAGGTAATCTAATCGTACTTCCAAATACAATTTCTGCAGGTGTTAAACCTAGATCTTCTTTAATCACTGATCTAAGGCCCATAAGAACTGAGGGGAGTACATCTGTCCAGTGCTCAGTTTCGTAACACTTTATTGCCGTTTTAAGTGATCGGTGGAATCGTTCGACTAAACCATTGGCTGGTGGATGATATGCTGATCTAAGCCCTAAAATTTGCGTTACTGCGGTGAACAGAGTAGACTCAAATTGCCGTCCTTGATCTGTTGTCAATCTCTCCATAACTCCATATCGAGCTATCCAGCCTTCAAATAACGTACGAGCTATGGTTTCAGCCGAAACATCCTGAATTGGAAAAACTTCTGGCCATCTAGAAAATCTGTCTATAGCGGTTAAACAGTAAGTAAAACCACGTGACATGACCATAGGACCGATTATATCGATGTGTACATGTGAAAAACGATCACTCGGCACATTAAAAATACCACACGGACTTATAACATGTCGCGTTATTTTTGACTTTTGACACGCTAAACACGCACGAGTCCATTTCGCACAATCACTGTTCATCGACGGCCACACGAAACGACTACTCACTAATTTTATTGTTGACCGTATACCTGGGTGAGCGAGATTATGTAGACAATTGAACACATTGCGGCGAAATTGTTTGGTAAGATACGGTCGTTGTCTACCATTAGAAGTATCGCAGTAAATATTTGTGTTCGTAGTGGGCATATTTACGAGCTCTAGTTTTATCGATAATTCCGGTTTTGACAATAACGACAATAGTTCTGCGTCTGCTAACTGGTCGTAAGCTAACTTGTCATAATCTAGCGGTGGCGGTGCATTTATAGTTTCTATTCTCGATAACGCATCGGCCACTGTATTCTGTGTACCTGTTACGTGCCGTATTGATGTTGTAAACTGACTAATAAAATCAAGTTGTCGTGCACGTCGAGGTGGTAATTTATCTGAGTGTTGTGTGAATGCGTATACTAACGGCTTATGGTCCGTAATTATTTCAAATTCACGGGCTTCCAGCATATAGCGAAAATGCTTAATGGCTTCATATACCGCAAGAAGTTCACGATCGTATGCACAGTATTTTTTTTGTGTTTGGTCAAGTTTGCGAGAGAAAAAAGCAAGTGGTTGCCAAACGCCGTTTTTAAATTGTTCTATTACTGCGCCTATCGCCATATCTGACGCGTCACATCGTAATTGAATATTCGCGGCCGGATCTAGATACGATAATGTTGTGGCTCGCTTTAAGTCTTCTTTAGTTTTCTCGAACGCTCCCGTTGATTGATCGGTCCATACAATTGGTGTTTTGTCGTTTTTTTTGCTGTTTTTAAGATAATCGTGAAGAATAGCTTGTGTACTTGCTGCGTTTGGGATACAACGGCGGTAAAAATTGCACATAGCCAAAAAACGTCGAAGCTCTTGTACATTATTCGGCCGTGGATATTTGTCTATCGCTTCTAGTTTTTCAGGATTTGGTCTAAACCCGTTACCCGATATGATGTATCCTAAAAATAGTACCTCTTCTTTTCCAAATATACATTTATTCGTATTTATCACGATGCCGTACTCACTGAGTCGTTGTAATACACGATGCAATTAAAATATCGTCCAAATACACTTCACAAAAATCTAAGTCTTTTAAAACACCGCGAATGAAACGCTGAAATGTTTGAGCTGCATTTTTAAAACCGTATCCCATCCGAACAAACTCAAATAACCCAAAAGGTGTTGTAATAGCTGTTTTTGGAATATCGGACGGTTCTATTGGTATATGGTTAAAAGCTTTAACCAAATCGATTTTTGAAAAAATACTTTTATTTTGCAATCGCTGTGTGATGTCTTGAATGTGTGGAATGGGGTATCTGTCCGGTAATGTGACTGCGTTTAACCTACGGTAGTCGCCGCACGGTCTCCATTCACCGTTCTTCTTTTTTACTAGTTGTAATGGGCTGGCCCACGGACTATTTGAAGGTCGGCATATGCCCTATTCTACTAAATATGCAAATTCTTTTTTTGCGATCTCTAGTCGATCCGGAGGAAGGCGTCTTGGTTTAGCGAAGAGTGGTGGTCCTTTAGTGATGATATGATGTGTAACGTTATGTTTACAATCCATTGGGATCATGTTTGTTCTTAATACTTGCGGAAATTTTTTTAGTAACTTAATGTACGCTGAATCGTCTTTAAAAGCGAAGATGCCCGAGGATATCGTCTTTTTAACTTTTCCGGCGGTGGCTAAATTGGTATTTTCATCAATTAGGCGTTTACTTCTTAAGTCCACTAATAAGCCGAAGTAGTGGAGAAAGTCAGCACCTATAATTGGTTTACTGACTGCTGCGACAATAAATTTCCATTTAAAAACACGTCTTAAACCTAAATTTACAGCAATTAATTTGTCACCGTATGTTTTTATTATTGACCCGTTGGCTGCGAATAAAGTAGGGTTACCATCTTTTATTTTATTGCGTTTCTGCTTAGGATCTGCTGGCCAAACCGAAAAGTCCGCACCAGTATCAATTAAGTATTGAGTTTTTGTTATTTTATCAACAATAAATAGACGACGAGATTGAAACTCACTACCGTCGGTCGTCTCGACAGTAGATCGTTTATAGTTTTCCGACGTGTGCTGGTATTTACACGGTGGTTTGCATTTAGTAGCCTTATCTTTGAATCGGTAATGATAATAACATGTATCATATCGTGGTCGTGAATTGTCTCGGCGCATAGGTGATTTTGAGTGACGCCTATTGTAGCTACGAGAGTTGCTGTTGCTAAGTCGCTCTACTGCTTGTGCGAGTGCTGCGATCTGGTGTTCCAATTTTCTTATTGTCGTTGCATCGTCAGCTTGTTCATGTGACTGACGGTTTGTGACCTTGTCACTAATGTTGGCAATGGAAAAACCATCATTTCGGCTGTCCGATACTTCGATAATTTTATCTGCCATCGAAGCTAAGTTATCCAACTTGTCGTTGCTAGCTGAAATGATAGTTTTTACCTGATGTGGTAACCTTTGTATCCATAGTATTTTGAGTATTTCATCAGTTACTTTTCCATTAGCTAGTTGACGCATTTCTGAAAGAAAATGGGATGGTTTCCGATCACCGAGTTCGACTTCGGTCAGTAATTTTTTAAGCCGACATTGTTCAGATTCGGAAAATCTTTCGATGAGCCGGGTTTTTAATGCTTCGTACATTTTCGTTTCTGGTGGATTGAGTATTATGTCACTAACTTGAGCAAGAATTTCACTTTCCATAGAAGAAACAACATGATGAAATTTACTTGCGTCAGCTGTAATTCTGGTTGTATAAAAAACGGATTCAATTTGTTTGAACCAAAGTTCTGGGTTGGTACGCCAGAAAGTTGGGATTTTAAACGCTCGCGTTGAATTCATATTGGGCTCGCCGTATTCGATATGGTCTCGGCCATCATTACCGGTCGCATCGTCACGCACACTTACTATCGCACTATCGGATTTGTTGTTCATTTTAGAGGTCACCAATTTGTAGTGTTTTGGTGTTTATATTTATTAAAAAATACTACAATTAAAATTTATAATAATTAATAATTTTAATTAATGAAAAATGATTTTATACACGCATAAAAAAAGAGTACAAATAAAAAAGTGTCACTGGATTGACGAACAGCGCGAGAATAAAAAAAATACATGGAGTGTTATCGTACTGCAGTACATCTAAGATAAAACGTATAAACATATATAAACGTATTCATTGTGACATGTTATTTAACATCTTTGTTAATCCCTACAACGTCATGGTAGTTCCAGGGCGGCCCGCACTTATGCCGGTCGTAGAAAAAAAAACTGTAGCACAGTGGGGTCGCGGCACAGTGTGGACAAGGCATAGATGGGACAAGTATATATAATATCTGACAGTGATTAAAATCACTATCATAAGAAACGCTTCGATGCAAATCTGTAGATAGTGTTTCATTTAGAGAAATTGGTGGATTATTCCAAAAGCAACATCAACTCTTATTTCTTTAATTATATCCTGATTAGTAGTTCATTGATTTTATAATATAATATATGAATAAATACTAATTATAGTTTTTATATTTAGTATGAAATTGTGAGGTCAGCTATAATGTATGGTTCATAGTGTTGGGCGGTTGATAAGAAAGTAGAGCAGAGAATAAGTGTAGCAGAGATGAGAATGCTTAGTTGGATGAGTGGAGTGACTAGAGAAGATAGGATAAGGAACGAGCATATAAGAGGAAGTAAAGGTGTTGTGTCAATCGTGGATAAGATGACAGAAAATAGACTTAGATTGTTTAGTCATGGTATGAGGAAAGAAGAATCGAAAGCTGTAAGAACAGTTATAGAAATGAATGTTGAAGGAAGAAGAGATAGAGGAAGACCAAAAAAGAGATGGAGGGATGCTATTGAATGCGATTTGAGGACAGCTGATGTGAGCGTAGAAGATGTGGGAGATCGTATCAAGTGGAATCTTAGGATAAGGGTGGCCGACCCCAAGTAGTTGGGATTAAGGCAAAGAAAAAGAAAAATATTACCAGAAATTCCGGTGGCAATTGACATAATATGATTGTTGTTTCGGAATGTACAATTTAGCGTTTAGTTGGGTTTAAATAATATAGCGTCAAATCAATTACCTACTCTATCGGTTGTATATTAATATACACTACACTTTAATGATACAATAAATAAATAAACTCACACATACACACATATGCATTTATAACATTGTGTCTAATGTAAGTATAACATGATAAAAAGTAACCGTAAAATGAAAAAAATGGAATATAAATTTTAGTACTCATATTAAATGTAATGTAACTCGAAAAATATTTGTTTAAATGAAAAACTATAAAAGAATTTGTTTGTTTATAATTGTTTTTTAAACAACTTTTGTACGAAACTTTTTTTTGTAAGTTAAATATTTTTTGAGAAAATTAAAAAAGCTCATATTTTTGAACTTTTGCGAGGCTGTAAAAAAAAAGCTCAATTTCAATCAATGAGGACTATTAGTATGTCATTATACATATTTTAATTCAACTATTAATAAAACAAAATTTGGTTGGGAATTTTTTAAGAAGTTTTTCCTTTGTTGACTGGCCTAGATGTCAATTTTA